AAATGTTAAAAATTTAGTAACAAGCCATTTTTCTGAACTAAATAATAAATAATTTTTAACATTTTACTGTAGTGGGCGCTGACAAAATATCAAAATAATTCATTGATGGTTCCTATAAATGAAATAGGTGATAAGATAAAGAATCTTATTGTGCCATACATCGTTGTTGATGGTTTCTTAAAGACGCCAATTGTACAGCTTAAAAAGTTCGTATGAGGAAGTGTTATTCGTTTTTTGATATCTTTTCAAACAGGGCCGGCAAAAAATAAAACCGAATATGATTAATTTCGTTTTTTTCGGAATTGATCGGATTTTACAAATTTTTAAAATATCATTTGACTTGCTTCCTTTTCCTTCTTATATTGGACACACTGTATATATTACATTACCATAAGGAGGCAAAAGGAGGGAAGGGCAGAGATGAAGGTAATATCACTTTGTAACGACCCAGCTATTCACAGTCACAGTACGTACAGTATTAACAATCTGGAATAGCATTTGTTTAAATAACCTGAATTTTTTTCCTAATACACTAATGTAAAAGGAAATTTTTTGATGGCCAATTTTACGCCTCCCCGGTATCTGCGCCCTTGGCGGGCGCCCATCTCGCCACCGCCTAGATACGGCCCTGATAGTAAGGCAGTCCTGCTGTTAATAAAATGCTCATTGAAGAAGAAAGAACTTAAAAAATATCATCACGATGGTTACAGACGCACCAAGACCAACGAGTTGATAAGAAATATGAGTTTTTTTAGGAATGTTGTTGGTAACCTATCCAGTTATAACGTGGATTAAGTTGGCGCTACTTTTCTTACATCCGCCGCATAAACAGTCAATTAGCTCAGGGATAGAATAAGAGAAATGCTTGAAAAACTTCACAGAGGTAGTTTATTCTGGGCAGATAATCTTCGTTTATTTTTAGCAACTTACGAATGAGTTGAGCGCCACCTAGTTTTTTACAATATGAACTCTTCCTTTATATATAAAAGTCTTAAATCTTTAAACCTTTTTTAATTTAAATTTAAATGTGTAATATATTAAATAAATTATGTTTGTCTAAAAAAACCAATAATAAAATCCAATAGGAAACGATTGGTATCTATTGTTCTTCAATGACAATCAAGATCAAATTGGCAATTGAAATCTAAGCTTCTCATCCTCCCACATAAAATATTATTCCCCAATATAAACCCCCAATGATGGAGCTACCATGATGTAGATTGATTAATAAAATGTAAACGTAAATGTTGTTATTTAGAAAGCAGGCTTTCATTAATGACAGATCTCGACGTGCCCGAATCCAATACTCCGAAGAGTGCCGTATAAAAAATGTGAACTTCAAAATAAGGTCTCAAATCTTGGCCCGCATGTTGTAGCAAAAAATCTAATTTTGGTTTAGTCTAGGCATGGTGAAGCGACATCGTCTCAGTAAATAGACCATCAAAGAGCTGCCTCTGGGTCCGTTTCCCGAACAAAATCTATACGAACGTACAGTAACGCCCGTAGCGCCACACTTATAGCAAAAAAATCTGCCGCGGTTCGAAGGTGCCCTAAACGTTGACAGTTTCAACACCTGATTATTTATTCTCGACAACAAGAATGGTAGGACGCTCCGGTATCCGTCGTGCCATAACCGAATTACTATATCCAGCTCCCTCTGGGTCCGTTTCCCGAACAAAATCTACACGAACGTACCGTAACGCCCGTAGCGCCACACTTGTAGCAAAAAAAATCTGCGGCGGTTTTGGACATTGAGTTCGATGGTGCCCTAAACGTTGACAGTTTCAACACCTGATTACTTATTCTCGACATCCGTCGTGCCATAACCGAATTACTATATCCCGGTTCAAGTATAGGTAAATGGGATCGACTACATTCCATCAATAAATCGTCGATAGTACACTTGGTAACTTCGATAAATAAAACGGAGTGACATTCCGGCGAGTTATGCGAACTTGTGGATTTGAAAGTCTGGAGAAAAACCCCTGCATAATGTCAACGTTGAATTTTTGAGCGGTGTAGAACGACAATTTTAGTGCAACATTCGTAATTTTCTTCTTCAAGATAATTCAAAAGGTCCAAACAAAAATTATCGTGACGTATCGACAACAAATCCTCAACGATATTGAAAGTTGAGAGTTGAGTCCCACAGTGTGCTGGTGTTCGAAACTCAGAAGAGGTTTTTCCACAAGGGCAGAAATTGACTTGACGGGTAGATCAGAAGTAAAATGCCAGCAATTATCTGAAATATTAGGTACAATCAGTGGCGGTCCCAGGATTTGGTAAAGGGAGGGGCCCAAACCCGAACGTTGTCCCACACGGAAAAAAATAAAAGAAATCTCACATAATGGAAATGAGATCGACGGAAAATTGATGAAAAAAATTGACAATGGGGGGGCCGGACCCCCACGGGCCCTCCATCTGGGCCGATTCTGGGTACAATACCCGTACGATCCCAGAAATCGATGCCTAATATGAAATCTGTACTTAATCTAGGTACTACCAATAAATTAAAAATTACAGTTGCTACCGTCGGTAATAAAACATGACGTAAATGTAAATGTTGTTATTTGGAAAACAGGTTTTGCATTAATAACAGATCTCGAGGCGCCTGAATCCAATAGTTCGACAAGAGGCATATCAAAAAAGTGGACTTGTGTCTCAAATCTTGGCCCACAAGTTGCAGTAAAAATCTCTGGATCGGTTTCCCGAACAAAATCCACACGAATGTACGGTAACGTCCGGAGCGCCACACTTGTAGCAAAAAAGCTTCCGCGGTTTTGGACATTCAATTCGATGGTGGCCTAAGCGTTGACAGTTCCAACACGCGATTGTTTATTCTATTATTACTAATAAATCCCGATTCAAGAAAAGGTAAATGCGATTTAACGCTTCGTCGCCGGCACTATTTAACCTTTACATAGAGGAAGCCATAAATAGAGTAAAGCAGGATGTTAACTTAGGGGTCATAGTGCAGGGCGAAACAATACATATGCTGAGATACGCGGAGCAGAAAGGGAAAAGGATCTAGAAACAGGATTAAACGGTATGGAGAGAATACTATCTAGAGACTACAGTATGAAAATCAACAAGGAAAAAAACAAAAGGAATGAAATGCTTGAAAAGAGAGGATAGGAAAAAGTTAAAGATCCGAATAGAAAACAACACTTTAAAGCATGTAAAGGAATTTTGCTATTTAGGTAGACACAAGATAATTTTAGCAAGGGTTAGCGCAAGCTAAAAAAGCATTTGAGCAAAAGTGGGACCTGCTAACTAGATCCGGGATAAATATAGGAATTAGGAAAAGGCTGCTAAAAACGTACATACAGAGTGTAGCTCTATACGTACCCGAAACCTGGACGATAAATAGTTAGGGACGTATGAAATGAAATGAAATAGACAAGGATAGTTATACTGCAATCCGATTGGCGCACATGACTAGATCGGAGACTGTGAACGCGACGTCGCGGGTTCGAATCCCTGGAGCGCGCGTGGTTTTTTTGTACATAAAATAATGGTAAAAAGATAAACGAAAGTAATTTAAAAACTAATGCATAAAAAAGGTTCATTAATAATAAAACTCGTTAAATTTTCACATTTTTAAACCTCTTCGACCACGCGCCATCCGCGAAATTGCTTCCAAATGTTCGGGTATGGTATTGGCATACATCTTATATCCAAATATCAACAATAATAAAACTGTTAAGGAAAATGTGCCACTAGCTCTCAGACTACTATACCAAGTCGCTTGCTTTCATCAAAAACCACGAGACATTATTAATTTAACTTTTTCTAGATGTGGACGAGTGCGAGCAACAAATTCACACGTGTCATCCGTCGGCGCAGTGTATCAACTCGGACGGGGGGTTTTGGTGTTCCTGTCCCGAGAGTAGGGGTCCCAATTGTAAGCTTAGCTGTATTTTTGAGGGGGCCGAGGTCGAGCACGGGAAGACCGTGTCGCCGGTCGGTCAACCGTGCCGGCGCTGTGAGTGTAATTATGGCGTTATAACGTGTAGGGAGCCGACTTGCAACTGTTCGCTTCCCGGTAGCGGTCAGAATTCGTGCTGTCCACAGTGCGATCGGCAATTGGCGTGCAAACATCAGGAGCTGTCGGATGTGATACTGATGCACGGCGAGCGTTGGTCGTATCAATGCCAAACTTGCGAATGTCTGTACGGTGAAGTGGACTGTTGGGACATGAAGTGTCCCCCATTGCTCTGTGATAATCCAATACAAGCTCCAGGAGACTGTTGTCCTCATTGTGATTAGTTGGGTGGCCATAGTTATTAAATCGCAAGTCTAACGGCATTTAATGAGCCATTTTGGAAACGTGCAATAAGGGTAAAAATGTCTGCTGAACCCGAATTCGAATGTTGCCAAGCTGAGTTTTGGCTAATTTCAAAATGGCGGCTAATATGGCGGCCAAATACATAAATTTTTATGCCAGACGCATTTTACATAGTTTTTCGGATTGAGGTGTTAAAAAAACATACAGGAAGCACAAAAAATTGCAAAACTTATATATTGGGTACATTATACAGACAACACGGTAACAATATAGAGATAATTCTGACGGCAAATGTATTACCTATATTTCGTTCAAAAATTTTAACGGAACTTAAATTTCTTCATCATTCTGCTCATTTTTTTACGATTGAAGCAGTCGCCAAGACACTTGTAGATATTTGTGCACTTTTAGTTCATAGCATAATTTATTTAAAGCCAAGTTTTTAGGAGGACTAGTCTGACCATTCGATTTTTCAGTGTCCCTTATCGCATTTGCGAGACAATATGTATGGTACAAGATGCCCCCGGCAACAGCATCATGAGAAGATGCAACTCTACGCCCTTCTGTACCCACTGCACCCAATGTAAATTTCCATAAGAGGGTCGGCCTAAAAAACTCAAGTTGTTTTTGAAAAATAAAATTTCATATTAATAATATATAAATTTTATATTTTATAAATTTAGACCTTTATCTACAAAATGTTCGGACTATTTTTTTAAAAAAGTTTATAGCAACTGAATACCGGCTGTTTAAAGATTAGATATTTTGCACCGTTTATTGCGCTAACCTGTTTTATTGTTTTACTCTCGATCAAGACGATTTATGGAAAAAGTAAACCGACAGTTTTCTAGATAAGTTACTTCTGAACATTACCCCAAAAAATGAAATCATATTTTTTGTAAATAAAGTCTGTATCTTGGTGGGCGGTAAATAAACAATTTGAGTGTAGCAAGTGGCGCCGCTGCACTGTGTCGGGGGGAACCGAGGGGTAAACCACCTAGTTAATTCAGTGTACAAATAGTAGTTAATGAATTAAAATTAACTTTTAATGTAGTTAATATGTTCTGTAAATGCCGTTAATTTCAAGTTAATTCAGTTAATGTAATTTAATGTGGTTAACGCTAAGTTAATGTAATTAATTTACATTTAATGCAATTTAAAACTACTCGAGATACTACTATAGGTAGTGGCTATAGCATGTGAAAAACCAAATTTTGAACCCGGTGTTAGTTTGCTTTTATTCCAAGTGCCTATGTATCAAATTTTATTTAAATACTTTCATAAATAAAAAAGTTTGCAATTCAAAAAGGGCACTGTGAATGTAGAATTGATTAGGCCCAACTTTTGGCATTGCGTATTATATGGCTAAAACTATGCCCTCGACTATGCCCATATTGAATTTCATGCAATTCGGTTTATAACTAACGGAGATGTCAAAAGGGCCTTCTTTATTTTTTTACGTACATTGCCAATTCCCGAACTTTCATCATAATCGGCGGCGGTCTATTCGTTTTCGAGGTATCGTGCTAATGAACAGATCTCGGGACAGATGGACAGGCACCGCAAAATTATAAACTCTCTACGTCCTAGGAGAGCATCAATAATTTGAAAATGTTGGGTATTTAAAATATTTTTGCTATAGTGTATTATAAAGAATTTAATAACCTGTCATATTATGTAATAATACACAGGGTGTTCCATATCAAAGTCACATTTTTGTTATCATCTGAAAAATGCGATGTGGTTTTGTTTTTTTAAATGCAGATTTGAATTCATTGGAAAAAATACGCAATTTTTATTTATATATATATTTATATATGTAATTGGAAAAAACCTTAAATACTTACCAACGGTTATTAAAAAGCACAAAATTTAATAACAAACAAAATTTGCCGAGGAAAATGTAAAACACTAATTTAATGAATTCACAGCTTTTTTGGGACACCCTATATATCACCACAGGATATATTTTCCTACATTTTCCGAACTAGCTATGAAGTTAATTAACCAACTCTTACGTATATATAAGTAATAAATTATGGAAAGCAATTTAATATTAAATAGTACACAATACAATAGATAGTGGCGCCATCGTGCTGTATTTGTGAACTAGTGCAAAATTCGGCCTGGCAACATCCAGAATCGGATTCAGCACATTTTTTTACATCTAAAAAACCATGTGGCCAAAATGGCTCATAAAATGCCGTTAGAATTAAGAAACAGAGTCGTTTTTCGATTTGGCCACTTAACTATATCATCACATCCTGCTAGATCGTGCGTTGTGAAATCGATAGTGTAGCGTAGTGGTAAGAGGATCGATTTCATGCCACGTAAACATACTATGGCATGGCTGGCCGCTGCGTAGTGCTAGGCGTGCTACGCTAGGCAGTACTAACAATTAACACTCGGTTCCCTTCCAGGTGCCGTTCTGCGCCCAACTGGTGAGCAATGTCGCGTGTTGTGTGCATCGGTAATCACATCACTCTAACTACACTCTAAAAACTTTACACACCTCTAGTAGTGCCTGTTTGCCTGATTAAGTAGTTAGATCTGGTCCAAGCACTCTATAGATGTGTATTGGCAGATAAATTCAAATTGCATGACTTAATTTTTTAATCATCATCACCAAGTTTTGTGTGTAACTGTGGCATGTGCATTGAGTTTCATTTCGGGTACGGATATTCGATCCTAAAATCAAAGTTAAGGTACGTCAGATCTGCCCAATTTTTGACTTGTGGCGGAGCTTATCGAACAATGCACGGAAGTCATCTGAGGTTACTATAAAATTATGGCACAATCTGCACAAAATTTTGAAATTAGCACAATAAAACCGTAACATAATTTATATAGTAAACGTGTGCTTTATGTCAACAGGATGGAGTGCTATGCTGCAGTTATAATTTCAATTGTGGCGACGACGCTCCCGCGGTGGGCTACGACGGACTGGTCGCCTCTTCGACATCCGTGGCCAGATATAGTTCTAGTGCTAATAGCGATCAAACTGAAAGTAGTGTTACTAATAAACAATTTAGTGTATCTGTACAAGTGGCTAACAATAGTGCTCAGACTATCGGCGTCAGTGACATTGGGAGAAATAATAAGACTGATATGTCGGGGGGTTGAACTTTGCCGGCACGTAGCTGGTCTAACATTCCTAGAGCCACCTGTGCAATAGCGTAGATTCGGCACAAACGTTGCCTGTTCTCTTCTGCCTGTCGCGGCTGCTTGCTAGGCCACCTCTCAAGTGTCTTCCTAGTTTATAACAGTAGCCAGGCTGTTTTGTTATGTCAATGGCAGTTGCATTTTGTCAGCTTCTAAAGAAGTAGGTTTTCACACTGGCGTTTGTATTACCACAATATTATCACTAGCGTACCGCCATCTGTTTTTACACATTTGCAATTGAAGTGTCGAATGAATGTGTTAGAAAGAAGTAGTTAGTGTACTAATTAAGATAAGAAAATACAAAGAGAAGAAAATGCATTCCGGTGTGACGAGAGCGACGACGCGACGAGAAGTTAAAAATCTGCGCGGAAACGTTGGTATGAAATCTGCTTCTCGACGTCTATATCTGTTATGTAATCAAACAAAAGGGTTGAAGAAGGACCCGCAGGTTTGCTGCAAAATGTATGTGTAAAGATCAATTATGTATGTTATATAAAACTCTAGTCAAATTATTAGCTTGCTAAAACATTCGGCAAGCTTAATGTATTTACAGTTATATATATTATATACCTATAAATAATGGAAAAGCATATCTAGCTAAATAAAAAATTATTGCAATATTGAAATTGTGATATTGTTGAATGAGACTAATAATTAATGTAATTTTCCATTCATTGTAAATTAGTTCCTGAGTCTTTTAACGCTGCAAATGCTCAGCAGTTTAAAACAAATAATAGTAATACTATTGTTAACAATGTACTTAGCACAAATTATAAGATTATATAATAGGCTACCGCTGAACAACGAATTGTTTAGCTCTTTTCATAGACACTTTTATTTTGTTCCCAATTATTATTTATTGCACAAATGGCGCAGTAGATACCTACATTCTAACGATATTTTTTTTACCAAAAAAGGTCACTATTGTAAATAAAATGTCGCTATAATATTGTATTAATAGTCTTAAATGTAGAAAACCTAATTGGAAAATTTTTCAAAAACAGAGCACATAATCATAATAGTTATAGTACCTAATTTTACTTTTCAGTATTTTGTTTATATGTTTTTCATCCTAGTCAACTAACAAGCTAGTTTCTCATCCTATGAAAACCGCTTCTTAATGACGACGTTTCATCCTTTGTTCGATTATATCTTATTTGTTACGACTAGAATTTATTACACTGTACAGAACATTGCCATAGTCCTTTGTTGTAAAGATGTGTGCCAATCATTATTACAAATAAATTATAATCAAGGAGTCGTGAATTTCCCCCTCCTATGCTCTCGCACATTCCAAGGTCTCTTCAATATCAATAACTCATTTAACTATAATTTAGGAATTTGCAATTTGTCAAGAGTGCAAATGATGGGAAATGACATTACTGTTTGAGGCGTTAAGGATACAAGGTTTTATGTTGCTCGAACCACTTGTTGCAGTTGATGAAATTCTTAAAATCCTCAGGATAGGAAAGTCGTCGCATTTTTGGGGAAAGAATATCAAGCTGTGCGTAACAAGAAAGCCAATGGTTAAAATGCCAAATAGTGGCTTTTGTGTCCTGTGGCATCATTTTGTAAACCGGTTTCGCTTTCAATTGGGTTCCTTTCGTTGAATAAGCTTATAATTAGAAGCCCATAAGAGACCAACCAATTTCTCACAGCCCCCTCTCACCCAACTCGAAAAGGAGTCACAAAGGAAAGTGTGGTGGTTATTTGTGAAACACCGTTTGCGATAATTGATGATACATGGCAACGTGCAGGGTACACAGGGCTGTAACTGTCGATTAGGGAACTGGCTACTGGGAGTGACAGGAAAGCGGCAGACTCAACCTTTGCGGAATATGATACTGTTCGCTCTGGGTCGTGCAATCGAAGACATGTAGTTCTCGATGGATGAGAAACGTTAGCATTGAATTCAGACAACACAAATTGAAAAGGGAAATGCTTTGTAACCAAAACAGGAGGACACCATGGAGAGCTCGCAGAAAACCCATTCTAATGCAATTCCAACTTCTCAAGGTTAAAATCGGAACGATTACATGATTGCAGCAGCTGGCTATGGTGCGAAGCTATTCTTTAAAGAATTGAGCCTAGAGTTTATTTGATAGAACTACGGTTATAGAAACGGTAGTGAAATTGGCAGCGAAATAAGGCAAAAGTGTTAAGTAGGCAGTTTGCAATCACGAAAAAATGTGTTGTTTGTGCGATCTTCGTGTGAAAGTTGTTGTAAAACGGTTCAGTTTAATGTACCTGTTATTGAAATTGTTCTTCCAAGGGCTTTAAATAAACTCCTCTATGCATAAGAAGTTACGAATTGCAAAAATAAATGTTTTCTGTTCATTGAGCATGATGTGTTGCCTACAAACCCGGCTACACAAATATCGAGTGCTCATATTCAAATTAGGGATTTGCTTGAATCTCCCCAATCTGCCGTTTTTATTGAGGGTAAGGAGGGCCTCCACGAACGAATGGCCCAGGGCCCCGAAAAACTTAAAAACGGCACTGCATTTAAGGAATAATAAGTGCGACGTTGCTATTAATCGCATAAATTCAAATGAAATTTTAAAAGAAGTTGCGTACGTGGCGACATCTCAACTACACTTCTAAAACTATATTTGATAGAAAGTGTATCGATTACCATGGAGATGGCGCACTAGTACTTATTGTATTTAAATTATCTATTCAAAAACCGGGCCTTTAAACATTGCTCTACAGATCTTGCAAGACTCCATACATTTTGAACTGCCATTGAAGGAATAATAAGAACGAGAAAATTCAAAGGGCTGCAACTTTTGAACTAGTAGCCCAATCTTGGAACTGTTTGAAATGATGGATTCTTCAGGCCACGTTCTATAAGCAAAATTTTTTTCCGGGACGATCTGAGACAATTTTTTCTTAGTGGCAAAAAAAGGCAGTTATTTACCTTCCTCTTTTCCAAAAATCGACTGCACCAAAATTTCTGGAGAAAACACTTTTTCTTATTAATTTTGGTACGTAGAATCCAAAACAATTCGTACTTTTTCGATCAGACTTCTCAATCAAAAGTTATAGACTAGAAACCAATTTCGAAAGAAAATTCAAAGGGCTGCAACTTTTGAACTAGTAGCCCAATCTTGGAACTGTTTGAAATTATGGATTCTACAGGCCACATTCTATAAGAAATTTTTTTTCCGGGTCGATCTGAGACAAATTTTTTTTCGGGGCTCAAAAAAAGACAGTGTATAAACCTTCCTTTTTTACCAAAAATCGACTACACCAAAATTTCTCGGGAAAACACTTTTTCTTATTATTTTTGGTGCGTAGAATCCAAAACAATTCGTACTTTTTCGATCAGACTTCTCAATCAAAAGTTATAGACTAGAAACCAATTTCGAAAGAAAATTCAAAGGGCCGTAACTTTTGAACTAATAGCCCAATCTTGGAACTGTTTGAAATTATAGATTCTACAGGCCACATTCTATAAGAAAATTTTTCCGAGTCGATCTGAGACCATTTTTTTTTCGGGCCTAAAAAAAGGCACACTTTGGAACGTGCTTTACAGATGAACAATCTTAAGCTTCGTGATGCTTAACGAGGATTGTTGGCATTATAGTTCGTTGGGAGACGCTCCGTTGCCATATTGTTTCTGTTGCAAATAACAACACTTCTCAGGGATATCAAAAAACCATAGAAATATTCACCAACATTAATGCCATATCCTTTCAAAAATAAAAGCCTACGATTCTTAGTGGGTGTATTCCTATGCTTCTTTGAAAATTGTTCATGCATTAACCAGGAAGTGATCTTTCTGTTTTTGTCTGGATTATTGCTCACAGTTCAAAGAGCATAACGGTTTGAAAAAATTAAGGATTTTTGGTGCTCTAGGGAATTTGTATTATCCACTAAGCAACAAAGCAGCAGATAATTTAAACCAAGTGTCTACGAATAAATAAATGAGATTTTCTATTTTTAACGTTTTGCTAAGCGAGCTTTTGTAATTAATTGCCCAAGTAGGTACACTCTAAATTTATGTACCTAGGTATAATAAATTAGTCCTCATCTGGCAGATGCTTTTAATATAAAAGAGCATTATTACCGAAATATATCTCTTTTTAGACGCAATGATTTCGTTGCTGTTGCTGACTCTCCTGCTTTCATCGACATATGATCATCCAAATGCAAGAACTGAATATTTGGTTCGGCTAATTCAAGCGGAAACCGAACGGTCAAAGACGTATCCTTTACCAGTTGATTCCGGCGACTATCGGCCGAGGACAGAGACTCAATACGGTACATTAATTATTTTTCGAGTGTATATAAAATATAACTCTTTAGAGCTGGGAACATTTGACCACATCGTTATAGGAGCAGGGTCAGCAGGTGCTATCGTAGCCGCTAGGTTATCGGAAGATCATGAAAAACAAGTACTGCTGCTGGAAGCTGGCGGCCATGAGAACGACTTTACAGATATTCCAGGAATGCGTTTGATATCAGAGGGCCTTCACTACAATTGGAATTACAAAAGTGTTGCGCAAAATAATTCCTGCCTTAGTAAGTACCTACCCACATACAATAAATCCCTATTAATCTCTGAGGAATTTAGTAATGAACGGGTTCTGTGATTATCGAGCTGGACGAGGATTGGGAGGTTCGACGGTAATTAATGGTTTGTTTTACTCCCGAGGTTGCAAATCTGATTATGACAGTTGGGATTCTTCAGAAGAAAGTAACTGGAAGTACGACAAAGTGCTGCCATTTTTTAAAAGATTGGAAAACTATAAAATTGATGCAGATAGCGGTTATCATGGTCACGATGGCCCCATGAATGTGGACTATGCAGAACCACTTGATCCAAAAACAAGTACGTTTTTGGATGGCAATCGTGAATTGGGCCAGGAAATAGGCGATTATAACGGTGCAAACCCATTGCGTGCAGGAAGAGTTCAATATAATATCATCCGAGGACAGCGTTGCAGTACCGGACGGGCGTATTTGAGGAAGAAATATCGGCCCAACCTGCATATTCTGCCTCACAGCTACGTAACGAAAATATTAATCGACGCGGCAACTAAAAGGGCTTACGGGGTAGTCTTTGCGCGTCACCAAAGGTATTTAGTAGCGAAATCTCGAAATGAAATTGTACTTTCGGCTGGAGCGTATCGTTCTCCACAGTTATTGATGCTATCGGGAATTGGACCTGCGGATCATCTCATAAATCTCGAAATTCCCGTCATTTGCGATCTACCCGTTGGTAAATTCTTTAAAGATCATTCGTCATATGCCGGATTAAATGTTCTTACAAATCACTCGAATGGACAGCGCGAACTGCGTTATCACGTGGAAGATTATTTAAAGGGCAGAGGTGAACTTGTTGCAGGACCCGCTTTCGGCGCAACATTTTTAAAGAGCAATTTATTCACAACTTCGAAATGCTCTGACATGGAAGTAACGATGTATAAGTACACTGAAGCTCTCAATTTCTTTTATAACGTCACGGATATTAGTAAGGCTGTTACATTTTTCCCTATTTTGTTGCACCCCAAGTCTTTCGGTACAGTTTCGTTACGATCTTCAGATCCATTCCAATACCCGTTAATTAACCCAAACTTTTGGAGCGATCCAGGACAACAAGACGTGAAAACGATGCTCTACGGCATTCGACACGTACTGAAATTAATAGAAACGAAGCCATTCAAAGAAATTAATGCCACACTAATGCCGATCCATCTACCGTCGTGTTCCAATCACACTTACCTATCTGACGAATACTTTTATTGCCACATTAAGTACTTCAGTATCACATACACCCATGCGATTGGAACTTGTAAAATGGGCTCAGATCCTTCGATGGGTGCCGTCGTCGACTACAACCTGAGAGTCCATGGTGTTGATAATCTGATGGTAGCTGATGCCAGTGTTATGCCGGACACTATTTCCGGACACACAAGTGCACCGACAATGATGATTGGCGAACGAGCAGCTGATATAATCAAGAAGAAACTAGACCAATTGTAAATTGCCACTTTATAACTTAGGAAAACCTTTTAAGCATTATTATTATTATTTCATCGCATTGTATTGTAGTGATGGACACTATTCCACATGCCGTAATAAAACTAATTTTATACGTAAAACCAACAACTATTTATTTGTAACTCGTGTGCGGACAATTCGCACCGGAATAATTCGCATCCGGACATTTCGCTCACAAGATATTTCGCACCCTGGACATTTCGCACCCGGATAATTCGCACCCGGATAATTCTGTAAATCTTTGGTTTATTAAAATTAAATATTTTTAAGAGGCTACTAGACGATTGCCTTTACAGAATGTATGTAGTAGTGCACATCTTGCGGTAAACATGTACTTCATGGAAAAATGTTTCAAATAATAGTTATTTGGTCTTCCATTTTCAACACATCGCGATTCTTTAAGTATTTCCATTTCTTAAATATAATCACGCTGGTTTTTTTTGAAGTTGTATGAAGAGTCTGATATAAGTAGTTAAATCCTGTAATTTAAGAACACATAATTTTTATCTACTGCGCTTTCGTTTTGAGAAAATAAGAATAGGCAACTGAAACGTCTTTTGTGGAGTAATTAAATACAAAATCGTTATACCTAGTTATAGTATATCTACAATATTATGTGTAATATTCGCTACTTTTGAGGCGCTCTTAATATTAAAACAGAATCAACATAATACCGTACACAAACAAAGTGATTAGTCTAAAGTTAAAAATATTTACATTATAAGATCAAGATGAAAATAGAAAAAGGAAGTAATTTTAACGCTCCCTTACATAAAGATTTCTTAATGAAGACACATAAAAAATTGTTCTTTATTTCTTTAGTTGAAAAGGGTGACGAAGGAAATGAATTAAATTTATTTTAGACAAAACGAGTATGTATAAATGACAATAGAACAATGCCTTTCATAGATGGCACTAAATTTGGATAAGTAATGAAGATAATATTATAATTAAAGGTAAATTTGAAAAGACCCCGATAACACAAATTGCACTTCATAAAGAAACAATAAGAGAAATATCGTAATGACATCCTTTCTATTATTTCTGGAAGATGAATAGGGTTTATTACAAGGTAAAAGTAATTAGGTCCGAAAAATCAGGTTTAAGTACGTATGACCACAACTAATTAGAACTTTAACGCCTGTATAGTATCTTCATTCTTGAACGTTTGACAGAGTGGTATTTTAAAATTTATCTGAGCACGGGTTTTGATTTTGTGTATACTTTTTTTTAATTTTAAAAAATTTTATTTCTGGTGGTAGTGTTGTGGTGGTGTTCAGAAAAGGTAAGTTTCCAGTTTTCTTAGAACCAGTTTTACGTTTCTTTGACCACATATGGCCATAAGTTGATTATTGGTGACTGAGTAAAATTACACTAACTGCTTATTTTTTTGCGTTATCTTTGCTACAACTATGGTAGTGAATGAACTTAAAAGTTTCTTTTTGATTTTCTTACTGTTATTTATTTTATAGTTTGAAGAGATAGGTACATGGAAAATTCTGCCATTTTTTTAAGAGATTGTTAATAATCAAAACAGTAAGGGTTTTGAAAATCTTGAAACGTTTTAGGAACAGGTCGATATTGATGATTTTTTCTTTTAAATGTTTGTAATTATTAAGTAGGTACCTATATTTTTATTATATGTAAATAGCATTGGTAATGTCATGAGTAGTGATCACTGTATGTTTGCTGACGACTTGACAATATTGGCATCTAAGAATAACATGTCAGACATGGTAATTGACATGAACAAAACCATGCGATCTGATCATAATCATTTAGATGATATTAAATTGATACTAAATAAATCCAAAACTTGCTTTATGCAGTTTTATACCAAGCAAAGCAAATACAGGGAAAGCGCCCTATTCAAAACAGGTGAAAAATCCATCGAACACGTCAGTGCATTTAAATTGTTGGGTTGTTACATTGACATGTCTCTCAACTGGAAGGATCACATTGCCTACCTGTGCAAAAAAATTGCACCAAATTGTTTTGCACTTAAGAGACTATCTCACATAACAAATAAGGATGTATGCAAAACCTATTATTACGCGCATATTGCGTCATTATTAAGCTATGCCGTTATATTCTGGGGAAATTCCTCAAATGTGGGCAGAGTCTTTATTGTGCAAAAACGAATCATACGTTGTATGTTTAATATTCCTTTCCGTGATACTTGTAGAACAACATTTGTAACAGAAAAAATTCTGACATTACCCTGTATATACATACTTGAAATACTAAAGTTTGTTCGGTTGAATACACACAAATTTTGTCATTTAAATCAAAACCACTCTTATCATACGAGAAAGGGCTTTGACCTAAAATACCCGAACCACAAATTGGCTCTTTTTGAATCGAATCCTTTTTACATGCGCGTTACACTGTTCAATAAACTCCCGCCCGCCGTAAGACAATTACTGTATCATAAATTTGTCAAGACGATAAAACAAATCCTAGTTCTCAAAGCCTACTATTCCCTGGAAGAGTTTATTAGCGATAATTTAGGTATTAAGTAAATTAAATTAAGTACTCATAATATATTATGTTTATCAATATCATAGTTACATTAAATTATACTTATGATTTCTGACATGTCCTATATCTATTATAATGGATCACCTGGATTAATAAAAGCATTATTATTATTATTATTATTATATACTTCCTTTTTAATTTTTGTATGGCATACCTAGTACTAAAGCAAAACCCTTAGCATTGGTAATTGCGCAACAAGGAAGATATGACATCATTGGAAAGGCTTTCCTTCTCTGAATTTGGTGAGACTATAATTTTTTAGATGATATTTTCGAAATATTTTAAAAGTAAGTTGAGGGCGCGCTGTTGTTTATGTCATTGGAAGGATGTCGGGCCGATCACTATGTAATAGAAGCTAATGCGATCGTGCATCAAAATTATGCAGTTGCAAGTGGTATAAAAAAGAGAAAACTTGTACCTGCAACGTCGAATGCGCTGGAAATGAAACAACTAAACCAAAAAAATTACATATCCGAATTCAGAGATGGGCGACCTTACCAACGATGCATCATTTAAGATTTTAAGGGTTGCACTGTCAGCGATGCGAGACAAAGACATTAGTGAGCAAGTTTTATTTTAGACACTGTTTCCTTCCATGATCAATTTGACGTGCCAAAGCGTTTTTTGAAAATTATTTTAATTTACAGAAATAGCTAGGTATCGTTTCTAATGCACCACCGTATATTATTTAGCTTCGGAGAAATAACACCAAAATCTCCCCATAAAAAATGTTATAATAATAAATGGGTACATTTTGGTGTTATTTCTCCGAAGCTTCTTAAGCACCCCATTGAGAGTCATGGATCTTCACAATTTCAGTATATTATTTAAATAATAGCCATATAATTTATAGCAAGATCAATTTTTTTCACGATATTTATCAACATTTTTTGCTTTTTTCGTTACTTTACAGTTCTAATCTCTTTAATTTTACGGAAATTCTCAAGAATCTATTTGTTTTACGTTCAAATATGATATAATTTACTTGAGATTCTTTTAAGACAATACATACGTATTTCGTTATGTGTCCTTTAAATGGACGACATCGAAGGTTAGAGAACTAGGAAACTTAACTTGCAGCTATTAACAAATAATAATTGTTAAAATTTTATTTAGACTGTTATACTCCTATATTGTAATATTATTTGTACGTGCTCAAAGGTTTCCAAATAAAAAAAACCTTGATTGTGAATTGGTACAATAAAACTGGGTAAATTACTTAGGTTTAAGAAATGGCAGGTGACAGTTTTGCTGATAGACCGATACCAGCGTTTAGCAGCATCCGTCTACTTGTGAACATGAGTGCATGGATAATTTACATCACGGATGAGTGTCTTTTTACCTTTTTTTTTGTTTTTTTTTTAAATACATTTTCATTCATGGTACCTTTAGCAAGTGTTCTCATGTTTAATACGAAGATTACAATAAAACAAGTAGGTACTAAATTCCAGATTTTGAGTGATATGGATGCTATTAAAGTGACCTAAAATCTCTACTGCTTTGATATGGTCCATTTCATTAAAAAAGGTACATAGGACTGTACGTATGAATTCTTGCCTCAAAAATACTATTAAAAAAATTATTCCTCTAAAAATTGTATGGCTATTGTTTAACCAACATAAATATTTAAGTGCCACATTAAAATGCCAAAATCAAAGAAAATATCATCAATTATGGACTTGTCCCTGAGGCTAAAAGTTGAAATTTGATTTATTACAAAAAGTTGATAATGGATATGAGATTTAGGCGGTGCAAACTATACGGGCGCGTAACAATGGAGTTCGGTACAACGAAAAGGGGAAAGAGATACATAATCTATGAAGGATACATGTACCTCTTTGCTAAGAACCTTAATCTCCAAAACTGCTCATCATGGCTGTGTCGAGCGAGAAGAGCAAAGAAGGATCCATCGGCTCTTAGTTTAACATGCAATGCCAGGATCTGGGTCAACGATGACAAGGTAAGATTAGCTAAACCGAGCACTGATTTTGGAAGTGCAGATGGTTTCCAGTTTCAAAGCCCTTAATTGGGTATTTTATTAGTTAGGATATCGTCTTTTGACCTTTTGACTTTTTTATACGTAAGTTTCATCGTTGCTTATACCGTCGTCTAATGTTAGTTTTTAGGCTCGGCCCTCCCTTGCAATAAATTTAGTTTATCAACCTCTTCAAATTTCAATTTTACTCTGGAACCAACCACGGATATGGTAGTTGGGCTTTCGAGTTTTACTGCCATTTTGGGTTTTTAATTGTTTTCCATCTATTGTAAGTTTTATAGCTATAGTCTCTCCTCAATTATCTCTACCATCTTGTAGATCACCTGAAGATGACCGTTGGTCGAAACATGTAGTGTATCACTTCGTTTTATTAAATTATATGGGAACGGTTTAGAGAACTTTTATTCAATATTAATAAATTATCCCATTTAGAGTTTGTACACAAAATGGAGGTCACGATTCCAAATTATACCTTAATATTGAAAGTATCCAAATTTTAAATGTTGGTATACGTCTATTACATGCACAAAGTAATAAAACGTGATATTGGTGAGTAATATTGGAGATTTCAAGCTCTGAGCTAATTTAATACTTCACAGCCGACTTTCTATGTTAAAAGTCAACCGTACACAAAATACCCTCTCATGGGAGCGAAATTCTGGTGCGAATTATTCCGGTGCGAATTGTCCTACAACCAACGGGTGATATGAAAAAAATTTTCCGTGGCTGGCGAAGATATCAACCGTACATCTACAGACACACCGACATAATCGAGATTTTGTTTGATTCGGATTCCTATACGATACTTCCCTTACTAACGTGGGGGTGGTAAAAACGGATGACGGTCGCTATATCTGCGTTGCTTACCGTCCGATCTCGTTCAAATTTGGTATTCGAAGGTTTCGGGATTCGTGGCAACCGTTCCCGCCCTTTCTTAGCTTTTATCTCCGTTTCGAAATTTCGAAAGCTTCGTTAGGTCGCGAATCAACGCCCAGCTGAAAACCATCATGGACCGCTCCGTCAATTGCCAGAAGCACAAACGCAATACTGATTACACATACAGACCATGGCCAGTACCAAATAACCACTGGGAGCGTGTCCATATACATTACCGAAATCATGGGCCAATACTTCTTCCTGGAAGTAGATGGCCAGTAATTGTCGTCGTCAACTCATTATCCGCTGGACACGATACTCATTCGCCACACACGGTGTATCCCTGTTAATCTTCTTGGCCAATGGTCGACAACTTCCTTGCCAGAAAGGAAACCAAGCATTTCACCTCAACCCCATATTTACCGCAATCAAATGGACTAGCATAACGTCACGTCGACATTTTCACAGGCTTTATGAAGAAGAGAGCATTATGCGGGTCATCTGTAGTTGGGCCCAAGCCTTTTGAGGGCCCAGAACAAGAGAGGGATAATAAATAAAATCCCACGTACTATTAAAATTTCTATGGAAGATGAATTCTTGTACAGAATTTCTTCTTCGCACAAAGGCCACATTGATTTTCTACCGTTGCATAGTAAAAGTTGCTTGGTAAGGGCCGATGGGTAAACGGGGAAACAAGAGGAAATATTTCTCCTTGAAAGTGGGGTTAAATTATTTATTGGACAATCGGCGAGAAATATAATTTTTATACAATTAGTTCAGAGTTCCTTGTGATATATTGTTAAAACTTTCTCAATGAACAAAAAAGTTGGCGTTGCGCAGTTCGCGCAAGAGCACATCTAATTTTTACTATATGCGTTATATTTGCCTTCACCAAAAGTATATGTTAAGTTCTTTATATCATCACTGATGTATATTGGGTTGCGGACCATGATTTGCCGTACGCAATCGTTTGCGCACATCGTCAATTATTTTATTCATTCATGTAACAAGTACCTATGCACACGTAAACGTCGTTGGTTACATTCCAATTATTAATAAACGTATTCAAATATCAAGTTTTAGATCAACATTGATTAATCCAACAGTATATGTGGTTAAAATTTCAACAAAATATATTAATAAAAAAGGAAGTTGACATTGCGCGGTCTGCGCATGCCCAGTTTAATGATCAAGGTTTTCTTTGGCTCAGGTGCTAGAGTTATACGCAACCGAATGCAAAAAGAACGAACTTAATATCTTGAAAACTGTAGAAGTAGTTAAGGCCTCAGACAGACGGACAGACGGACGGACAGAGAAAGTGGCTGCAATAGCGCACCCAACTTCGTTGGAAAATTCGCTAAAAATGCTTTATATCCACTAATCCAGTAATCCGATATGTGAAAAATCTTCGGTGCGTGATTACCGAGCGCCTACTGTGTACCTTATTTAAGATAAAAAATGTTTATTTTCGAGGATTTCTTTCAAAAACCTTTACTAAAAGAATTATCGCGATAGTTCCAGACTTTACATTACATTAGCAATATGTGCTGCACCAAAATGATGCAAGATTGCTATGCTGTATGTTTATGGATGTTTGTTGGGTATATTTTAGAAAAAAAGTCAGCCTGTGACCATTATTAATGGAACACCCTGTACAACCCGCCCTTTCATTTATTTGGTTCGCATCACAAAACTCGCACCGGAAGATTCTTGTTCGGAAAATTCGTCTCCAGAAAATTTTCCCTCGTGGCATTTGCTCCCAGAAAATTTGTCGACACTTTCGCAAAGTAAGTAACGAGTAATCTCAACAAATAGACAACGACAGTTACAAAACAACATTGTATAATTAAAACCATGTACTAACAGTAAATACATTCAGGTGCTGTTTTACCATTTTATTAGGAGAGATTATTTCCGCAAACAATTGCCCAAAAATTCCTAGAAGTTGTTAATACCTCCGCTCAAACATACGCAGTTACTCCTTATCTTAGTACAGGTTAATTCAATATAAAAACTAAATCTGATCGAAGTGACTCTTCACAGCCGCAATGAATATCATCCTGCTCCTAATTTTGCCGCTTTCCTCAACTTATAGTTATAGAGATTTAAGAACTGAATATTTGGTTCGGCTAATTCAAGCGGAAACTGAACGGGCAGAGACGTACACTTTACCAGTCGATTCCGATGCCTATCGACCGTGGAGTAAGACCCAATACGGTAGGTACCTAGATGAAATACTGTTTCTAGCAGTATATAAAGTATTATATTTGTAGAACTGGGAACATTTACCCACATCGTTATAGGAGCAGGATCAGCAGGTGCTATCGTAGCCGCTAGGTTGTCGGAAGATTGTGAAAAACACGTACTACTGTTAGACGCTGGCGGCTACGAGAGCGATTTTACAGATATTCCAGCAATGAGTGCGATAACAGAGGACCTTCAATACAATTGGAATTACAAGAGTGTTGTGCAGAACAAATCCTGTCTTTGTAAGTATCCCCCTTAGCAAACCTAAATTGACCTGTTGACGTAACAGCGCTGAATGGACTCTGTAGTTATCGGGCGGGAAGAGGACTGGGAGGTTCGACGATTATTAACGGTTTGTTTTACGCTAGAGGTTGCAAGGCCGATTACGACCGCTGGGATCCTTCGGGAGAAAGTGATTGGAACTACGAGAATATCCTGGCAGCCTTCAAAAAGCTCGAAAATTATCAAATTGACGGCGATAGGGACTTGCACGGATACAGTGGTCCTGTGAGTGTCGACTTTTCAGAACCAATCAATCCGAAAACGCCCACGTTTCTGGACGCGAATCGCGAACTGGGCCAAGAAATTGGCGATTATAATGGTGACAATCCGTTACGTGCGGGAAGAGTACAAGTTAACAACATCCTGGGACAACGCTGCAGTACCGGCCGAGCGTATTTGAGACGGGCGTGGAGGCATCGCCGCAATCTTCACATATTGCCCCACAGCTACGTTACAAAGATACTGATCAACGCGACAACCAAAGAGGCTTACGGGGTAATCTTTGCGCGGTTCAAAAGGTACTTCGTTGCGAAATCTCGAAGTGAAATTGTACTTTCGGCCGGCACATACCGTTCTCCACAATTACTGATGCTGTCGGGGATTGGACCGGCAAGTCATCTCGCAAACCTTAACATTCCGGTCGTTCAGGACTTACCGGTCGGTAATTTCTTTAAAGATCACTTGTCATACGTTGGATTAACTGTGCACACAAATCACTCTAACGTAGAGCGGCAATTGCGCGACAAGGTACGAGACTATTTGAATGGAAGGGGGGAACTTACCGAGGGTGGTGCATTAGGGGTGGTATTTTTGAAGAGTAGTTTATCAACGGAAGTGCAACGTCCTGACATAGAGATAGTTATGTATAGGGGTAATAATAACCAGACTGTTATTATAGTTCCCGTTTTGTTGCATCCCAAGTCACATGGAAGCGTTACGTTACAGTCCACGGATCCATTCGACTATCCACTCGTCGATCCAAATTTTTGGTCTGATCCTAACGACGAGGATGTGAAAGTAATGCTCGAGGGCATTAGGTATGTACAGTCGTTGATAGAAACAAAGGCGTTCAAGGAAGTCAACGCCGAACTGATAGAAATTCGGCGACCTGAATGTAGGAATCACTCCGAATTGTCCGACGAATACTTTAAATGCCAGATTAAGTATCTTAGTAATACGTTCACCCATACTATTGGAACTTGCAAAATGGGCGCAAGTCCGTCTGCAGGCGCCGTTGTCGATTACAACCTGAAAGTATACGGCATTGGAAATTTGATGGTGGCCGATGCCAGTGTTATGCCGGACACCATTTCGGGACATACAAGTGCGCCGTCAATGATGATTGGAGAAAGAGCAGCTGCCATAATCACAAGGAATAATTAACACTGAGCCAATTGTATAAAAATCATTTTTGTCCAATTGTCCAATAAATAAATAAAATAACCCCACTTTCAAGCCTAATTCTTTCCGTTTACCCATCGGCCCTTACCAAGTAACTTTTACTAGGTACCTAACGGTAGAAAATGTGCCACTATGGGGATCTCACTTATCTTAAGAGATAGAAAGTTGGTTAAATGGGGGCAAAGTTGCGAATTTTCGTGCTGAATAAGAATCTGAAAAGATATTTCAAATATCTTCAATAGTTTTGAAGATATCTCAAAAAAACAAAAATTTGTGATTTTCGTTTTATGTTTTTTTATGATAAACTAATCGTAGTAGACATTTCTAATTAACACACTATTCGGACACTTTTTAATGGAGATTTCAAATATGGCATTCTGTTTTTAATAACTCTCCAGATGACGAAGAAACACGTGGCAACTTTAGTTTTTCTTATGGGCGCCATTTTGAATTTTCACATTTTGAGATTACGTCTTTTTTTCTCTTTACAACGATATATCACACATGGTGGTTCAGTAAACATTTTTCCTAAAAATACAATTTTTAATTTTTTGAGAAGAGTGCTTTGGAAAAACAAAACGTTCTTTTGTTGTGAACAAAAGGTTGACTTATTTCATGTAGTGTCATTTAGGTTTATGCTAGTTGTATTGCGAAAATGCCTTTTTCAAATGCAGATCAAAGAGATATGACCCAAATTTACTACACTTCTCTTCTCATCGAAATGCCCACATGACTGCTGCAACATACTTGCAGCGTTATCCAAAGGGGCAACAACCTAGTTTGAGGTATTTTTCTTTGCTGCATAAAAACTTGGGCGAATATGGTTCTTTTAAAAGATGTAGACAGCAATATGGTGATAGACCCAATGAATATGAGCAAGCCATTTTGCAAGCGGTTGAGATGAAAATCGACTTTCTACTTCTCTGACAACTAAACGCTGCAACCAGACAGATGGATCAAACTGTCAAACTTTTGTTGACAACAAAAGAACGTTTTGTTTTTCCAAAGCAATCTTCTCAAAAAATGAAAAATTATATTTTTAGGAAAAATGTGATACTGAACCAGTATGTGTGATATATCGTTGTAAAGAGAAAAAAAGACGTAATTGAAGATTGAAGATATTTCAAATTTCTTTTCAGATTATTATTCAGCACGGAAATTTGCAACTTTGCCCCCATTTAACCAACTTTCTATCTCTTAAGATAATAATAATAATAATAATAATATGATTTATTGCCCAACAGAATCAAATTCCAATTATAGGACAATTACTAATCTAAGAAAGCACAATAACTAAATATACTAATATCTTAACCGCTAACCTAATAAAAACCAAATTAAATGGTATTAAACTTAAACAAGATTAAAAATAAGATTAAAAATAAGATTAAAAATATTCCATCAATCTTTTAAGATCAGATACTGGGCAAGTGTTAATGTCACACATATTAGCAATTTTGTTAAAGTTGCTTACCATAACAAATATTGGTGATTTACAAAGTAAGTTTGTATTGGCCTTAGCACAATTGAAAGTATATACATTACGAGCCGAAGAACGTGGCACATGGAACCGAATTTGGGAAAGAAGAGATGGACAATCTAGGTTATTGTGTAACAAATTGAAGAGAAAGTTAAGGCTTGACAGAGTTCTGCGAACTTCTAAGGAATGTACCTGAAATCGAGATAACAGTAGTTTATGATCAGTACCAATTGCGGGATAAACTCTGTCCAATTTAAACGATAAAAACTTCAGAAACTTACGCTGCACTGCTTCCAGGGTTGTTTTATGGCAGTCATAGTAAGGATACCAAATTAGAGAACCATACTCTAGTTTGGATCGCACATAAGCAGCATATAGAGATTTGATAGCAAAAATATTGGAAAAATCACGACAATTTCTGATAATAAAGCCAAGCATTTTTAAAGCAGAAGCAATAGTCACCGATATATGTTCCGAAAAGGAAAGTTTAAGATCAAATATAACACCCAAATCCGTGACCGATGTACATCGTTTAAACTGAATATCATTAAATTGATAAGGATGTAAAAGAGGTTGAGATTTTCTTGAAAACGAAACTACTTTGCATTTAGACATGTTTAAGTGAAGATTGTTTTTTGAACACACCATTCACCAAGTTTATTTATTTGTGTTTGGAGGTAAACGCAATCATCATTACTATAAATGGATGTAAAAATCTTTAAATCGTCAGCGAACAGGAAAGTAGAGAAGGCAAAACATTTATGAAGATTAAGAACAGTAGGGGACCGAGGTTAGATCCTTGCGGAACTCCTGACGTAACCACAGCAGAGTCAGATATGTAATTCTTGTATTGCACACGTTGTAGTCTACCACTAAGGTAAGATAAGTGAGATCCCCATAGTGGCACTCGAAAAATGGACACCGTGTATAAGAATGCCTAAATTTAATTCTATTTCCATCTTTCTTACAAAATTTTAATGGCACGTGGGATTTTATTTATTTATTTATTTTCCCTGTTCTGGGCCCTCAACAGGCTTGCTCCCAATTACAGAGTGACTCGCATAATGCTTTTTAGAGGTGCTTCTGCAGAAGGTCTAAAACTCCGGTATTTACCTACGAACTAGGAAAACTGCAGGAAAACCTAATTCGGAGTAGCCGGCAGAATGCTCGAAACTGGATAAAATCTATTTCTTCACCCCACCCCACGGATCTCGAAAAGAGGTCGCGGAGGATAGATAAAGTTTTTAGAAACCAATTCCTTTCGATGAGATCTTTCCTTATATTAGATTTAATTAGAATACCATAAAGGAAGAATGTGTGGTGGTAAGATTCCAGGAAATCCCTTTGAAGAAGATTTCTAGAAATACTTTTAGCTCGACTAAGACTAGATACTAAGATGTTTTTCAGGACGGTTTCTAGGAAAACCTAAAAAAAATCCAGAAAAAAATCAAAAAAGGAATTTTTTAAAATATCGAGCTTGATTCTCACGAAGATTTTTAGCGAAATATCGTAGCGAACACCTCAAAAGATATACCAAGATTCGTATCTCCTAATCATGATTTGGAGTGACATTTATTTAACAAAATAAAATTTACCAGAAGTTCTGTAGCGTAAGTGATCAATTTTACAACTAATCTGACCGTTTTATAATAATATTCACTTAATTATTTTGCAATTTTAATTATCTTACTCCTAATGCGCGAATACATTGGTAAACTTAAATGGGAATAAGTTAACAAACTGAAACTCGAATATGACATTAATAAATAATCTAATTAACTGAAAAACTAATGAATTTTTCTCTGTTAAATTTCGTTAAAATACTAGTGTATAATTTTTGATTGAAATGTCTGATCGAAAAAGTACGAATTGTTTTGGATTCTACGCACCAAAATTAATAAGAAAAAGTGTTTTCCCGAGAAATTTTGGTGTAGTCGATTATTGGTAAAAAAGGAAGGTAATACACATATAAAAACTAAATTTTCTACTTGAACTTACCGTAATAATTTACGGTTTTTTGAATGATAAGAAAATACAAAAAATCACAATACCGTTTTAGTCCGTATGATTTGGAAGTGTGAAATGTCGTCGAGATCCAGAAATTCCTGCATAGTGGAAAATTCCCCTAGGGCAATGCGATCGTTTTTGGATATGTGCAATAAATCTGAACACAGGTTGACATGAAATACTTTTAAACTCACGCTTCAGTAGTCTGAGCATTCAATCGGATTCAAGATATGAATGGATAAATTTGCGCTTGCGAAATATTTGCCGATATAAAAAAACGGATAAACTAATCGTTCGCCTTAAATTCTGCAGCGTATTATATGGTTTCGGTCACAAAACACAGAGTCCATACCAATTCCGAGCGAGATCAGTATAAATTAACCGCTCGCCAGAAATTCTGGAGCGTATTCTGGAGCGTATTATACGGTTTTGGTCACAAAACGCTGAATTCATACCAATGCCGAGCTAAACGAAGGTGAGATCGGCATAAATTACCCGAGGCGAACTGAGCATAAACTATCCGCTCGCTCGAACTTCGGGGCGCGTATACCATCGCCAAAGCATAGAGCACTGCAGAAAATGGACCGCTCTGTGTTGTACAATACATTGGCAATACGCCTTCGGGGCCGGTATAGGGCTCCCGTTACAAAATGCAAGGAGAGCTAGATCGTGATTCATTACCATTATATATTCTACCCGAAATATTTGTTGTAGTTTTGTATTTATACACCAATGATCGGCATAAATTGACCGCTCGCCAGAAATTCTGGAGCGTATTATACGGTTTCGGTCATAAAACGCTGAGTTCATACCAATGCCGAGCGAGCCGAAGGCGAGATCGGCATAAATTACCCGCTCGCCAGAAATTCTGGAGCGTATTATACGGTTTCGGTCACAAAACACAGAGTTCATACCAATGCCGAGCTAGACGAAGATGAGATCGGCATAAATTAACCACTCGCCAGAAATTCTGGAGCGTATTATACGGTTTCGGTCATAAAACGCTGAGTTCATACCAATGCCGAGCGAGCCGAAGGCGAGATCGGCATAAATTACCCGCTCGCCAGAAATTCTGGAGCGTATTATACGGTTTCGGTCACAAAACACAGAGTTCATACCAATGCCGAGCTAGACGAAGATGAGATCGGCATAAATTAACCACTCGCCAGAAATTCTGGAGCGTATTATACGGTTTCGTTCATAAAACGCTGAGTTCATACTAATGCCGAGCTAGACGAAGGTGAGATCGGCATAAATTAACCGCTCACCAGAAATTCTGGAACGTATTATAATGTTTCGGTAACAAAACACAGAGTTCATACCAATGCCGAGCGAGCCGAAGGGGAAATCCGAGGCGAAATGAGCATAAACTATCCGCTCGCTCAAACTTCGGGGCGCGTATACCATCGCCAAAGCATAGAGCACTGCAGAAAATGGACCGCTCGGTGTTGTACTTACAATACATTGGCAATACGCCTTCGGGGCCGGTATAGGGCTCCCGTTACAAAATGCAAAGAGAGCTAGATCCTGATTCATTAACCATTATATATTCTACCCGAAATATTTGTTGTAGTTTTGTATTTATTGCCTGCAATCAAATCAACTTACAAGAAAGTTCACATTTTGATTTTCAGAATTTAAAAAAAGGAAACATTTTCAATAAGATAATTGCAATAGAATTCATTTTAGAGCTAGCCGTCGATCAAATTTTATGTTTAGAAAAGTTCTTCTCAATAGAAAGTAGCACGATAAAGGCCGTTCAAGCCCTAATTGTAACATCGGGTCCTTCCTAAAACAGTTATAGATTCATAAATAAAAAAGTTGTGCACTTCTTCCTTATAAGGAAACGCTTTTCCACTGGCAACGGAAAATCTAATGCATAAACCATTGAATCTCCTAACGAAATATTTCCATAATTTCTTACAAATTTTGTATTTGCCAAATTTCTAAAATTTGGTACAAATTTCCAATGTTTATGAAACGTTTCCAATATTTCCAAAGAGCATGTTGAAATATTATTTGTGAAACATTTCTATATCACATTCCTAACATTTTCTACACATGTTCCAGCCATTTCCAAATTTCTTACACATTTCCAATAGTCAAACGCAAAAGATCTAGACAATTCTAGTTACATTTTTTAAATTTTCAAAATACTTTACGTGTCAAAAATTTCCTGATTTCCATTTCTGAAACATTTTCTCAATTGTTTTAATTTAAATTTTAAAAATTAAATGTATTAAATGTCTTAAACAATCGAAACCATCTTTTTGTTATGTTTCTAAAATTCCCTACACATTTTCTAAACATTTCTTATACATTTTCAATATGTCTACGAAATGGACTATCCAAAACCACGTTATCTTTTCGTTAATGACGTCACGTGACTGGAAATGGACCTGCAGTTCGGGTAAAACGCATACAGGGTGCTCGGAAAATGATGTGAACGTTTTGCTGTTCCAAACCTACAGTCCTGCTTCTTTTCGTCCATACATTTAATTTATATTGCACATAATCAGTCCTGTGATATATCAGAATCGTCTAACTTAACGTGCACGTTATCTGCCAAAAAACGTTATTTATGACGTTTTTGACAGATAACCTGCACGTTAAGTTTAACGTTAGTGATACATCATAGGGCTGAATAACGGGCGATCAAAAATGAGTTGCTGTCGAGTCGCCTTTGGAAGTTCAAGTTAAATACGATTTCCCATGTAAACAAAAATTCCAAAGGTGACGCGACAGCAACTCATTTTTTATCGCATAGTAACTATACAGGGTGGTGACTTGCGTAAAGCATTGTAGAGATTTCAATGTCAAATTCATAACATGCGATTATTGGCTCCCCAAATTATTTTAGAGCAAACATTTATTAAAATTTTTTGTAGAAAAAATTTTTTACGCCCATCAACCGTAAGTTTTAAATTTTTTTCATATAAAGACGGAAAATTGGAAAAACAAAACCCGCATCTTTTTCAATAATCTACCATGCCATGGAATTTTCTAAAACAAAAAGATATCCAGTTATCAAGTAGCAGCAGTTCGAAATGGATTTTATGATCGACTTGGTTACTGACTTGCAGTTAATGGTGACTTATTCGAACATTTATTGTAAATTGTTATATTAGGAAACCGTTTTTAGTATATTGGTCTTTCTTTATATTCAATTCTCTGTTCTAAATATAATACTTTTTGATAGAATTTGATTTGTTTTATAGCAGATATTCCATGGCATGACTGATACTGGCGCAGTTTTTGTATTATAAATTTCCATGGCATCACAGATTATTGAAAAAAATGGGGGTTTTATTTTTCCAATTTTCCGTATTTCTCATGCAAAAAATTTAAAACTAATACAGTTGATTGAAATAAAAATTTTTTCTACAAAAAACCTTAATACATTTTTGCTCTAAAATAATTTGGGGAGCCAATAATCGCATGTTATAAATTTTAAATTGAAATCGTTACGCAAGTCACCACCCTGTATAAGTAGATCATATTAAATAAATAAATCTTTCCCTTTTGCTCCCTGTCTTAGTTTTTTAAGTCATTAGACAATATCCAAGTCCTTAATTTTAGCACACAATTTACTTAGTCCTTTATCAAAACAGTGTTTTACAGTTTCCTTTGCGAAATTGATACATAAACGCACAAATTTGGATTATTTAATATAGGTACCTACTCCAAATCGAGGATGCAAAAAGTCACTGTAAACATGAAAATAATTCGAAATCAATTTCTGAAAACGGAACTTTTACTAAAATCCTTCTAGAATTCAAAAATTATAATAGGGGCAATTAAAAACGGGTAACAAACTTTCAATTTTTGGAAACTGTTGAAGTTAGAACGTTTGGTAAAGTGTCAGCTAACCAAATCGAATTATGTGAGCCGCCTTCTCACCGATCATCATAGACGGTGCACTTGTGTGCCCCGAGATCGAAACCGGAATAACACTTGCATCTGCAACCATTAAATTCTCGACGCCATGGACTCTTAGCTTGTGATCGACAACGCCATCAGGTCCCATTCTGCACGTCCCAAATGGGTGATTAAATGGTCCACTCAAGTGATTTATGTGACAGTTCCAGTACTCACTCGAGAAGTACGCGTAGTTTTTGCATTGGGGTAAGTGCACCGGTACCAATTTTGCATCGATTCCCTTAAACGCGACCGTGTTTAACAGATTTAACGAATAACTAATCCCGAGCAACATAGTTTTCCGATCTTCACCGTCGGTGTCCGATAAAAATTTCGGATCGATCACCGGATAAATGAAAGGGTCGGACGAGTTCAGTGTGAGACTACCTAGTGATTTAGGGTGTAAAACCACGGGAACCACCGAAACCAATTTGCTGGGATCGTTAACCTTGTACGGAAAACCGTAATCTTGCGAGAACTCAAAGAGGGCGATTTCGATGTCGGGACGTCGGACAGGTTCGGAACGATTGTTTTGCACAAACGCCAAAGCCAAAGCGCCGGTGGTGGTGAGCTGCCCTTTCGAGTTTAGGTAGTCGCGGATATTTTGTTCCAGTTTCTTTGGCTCGCTGCCGCGCTTCGTGTAGAAAGCCAAACCGGAGTAGGCCAAATGGTCCTTAAAAAATTGCCCAACCGGTAAGTCACGAAGAACTGGAATTCCAAGCTCTGTGAGTTGATCCGATGGTCCAATGCCAGACAACATGAGCAGCTGTGGGGAGCGATAGACCCCGGCGGAGAGCACGATTTCGTTTGTGGCTTTTGCAACGAAAAATTTCTTATCCCTTGCGAAAAACACGCCGCTTGCCCTTTTTGTTGTGGGATTCATTAAAACTTTGGTCGCGTAGCTGCGTGTTAAAACCTCGAGATTAGGGCAACGTTTCAACGAGGGTTGTATGTAAGCCCTTCCGGTACTTGCCCGTTGTCCTTCAATGATATTAGACTGTACGACCCCGACGCGTAAGGGATTCGCCCCGTTGTAGTCGCCGACTTCGATGCCCAGCTCTTGATTTGCGAACACAAAGGCGCTGGATTTTGCGTTCAGGAGTGGTCGCGGGTAATCCACGTTAACGGGACCGTCGTAACCGTGGTAGCAGGAGTCGGCGGGGATTTTGTAGTTTTCGACAGTTTTAAAGAAGGGCAGCAGATCTCCGAATGACCATCCGGGATTCTCTAAGCCCCAAACGTTGTAGTCAGCCGCGGACCCTCTGGAATATATTAGGCTGTTAATTATTGTGCTTCCCCCGAGACCTCGACCCGCCGGGTATACGCAGCGCCTATTATCGTTTACTAAATTGAGTGTTTAGTAGAAAGTGGTGGAATGGTGGTTACTTACGTAGACATGCACGGTTCTGAGGGGTGGTCTGGTAATTCCAGTTGTACTCAAGCGTTTGGGCTAGCGTCCCCATTGCCGGTATGTCGGTCAGATCTGTCTCGTTGCCTCCAGCTTCTATGAGCAGAATTCGCTTGGTGGAATTCTCGCAAAGACGTGCGGCGATAACTGCGCCGGAAGATCCGGCGCCGACAATAATATGGTCGTAGTTTCCAAATTCTGCAGGAAGTTACTAGTATAAAGGTCACCATTTAGGGCGAAATTACCAGTGTACGTGTTTACAGTAGCACGGTATTCGGTGGCATCATCTGGTAGTTGGTACGTCTTCGCGCGTTTTTCTTCGGTTTGGATTAGTTTGACGTAATAATTGACACCTGCCTCAAAAATCACAGACGCCGGTAGAAGAAGTGGAAGAATCGACATTAACTTTCTAAACATTGTATTGAACTAAGTACTTCAAATTTGCTGCGCCCTTAACCCGCGAACACAGTTATATACGCTTTAGATACGACTTAAACCTCGTTATTTCCGTGATACGCTGATAAACTAATTCGGCATAGACTCGCCAAAAATATGTACATTAGCATTAGCCAAGACAATCTATATAGACACTCGAAGGCACGAACGTGTAATATGGAAAAGATAAAGAGGTTTAAGTTGTAGGTAGGCAGTGTTTTATTACTACAAATAGCATGCCATATTATGCTATTATTAGACTACTTCAAGGAATATCAAATCCATTATTCTGTAACTTTAATTAGTATATTACATAACAAGTATTGAAAGTGGCACGTTT